CGTGCAGCTCGGCTCTCCTCGCCCGCAGCCAGCCCCTGGTCGGTGGAGGACATCCTGACAGAAGATGAGGAGCAGGACCGCGTTCCGCTGCAGAAGCTCAAGCGTTTGGGTAACCTCGGGGAGTCGGGAGTCAGCGGGGGGCGCGGGTGGGCGCGGGCCGTCAGCGGAGCACGCGGAGACACGCGCAGTTCCCGCGAGTTCTTCACGGAGCGCTGCGGTTTAGCCCCGTTTTGCAGTTCCCTGCAAGGTCTTAAAGATTTAAATGTCAGGTACCCGCCCTTTCACCGCGTCTCTTTGAAATTTTATTTGCAAACTAAGGGTGGTCTCAACCGCATTTGTGACTGTTTTGGATTAGTACTGCTTATCTTCTTTTTTAAAGGGGAATCAGAAGAACTGAGAGACTTGCTTCTGAATCCACATCTCAGGCAGCTACTGCTGACAGTCGATCAAGCAGAAGACAAAAGCTCTCTCATGAAAAAGTACATGCAGGAGCCATTATTCGTTGAGTTTGCAGACTGCTGTTTGAGAATTGTCGAGCCTCCCGAGAAGGAGAACATTCTTCCCGAGTGAGCTACTTTGGGAACATTTTTCTTTCCTTGAGATTTCTCCCCTCTGACAGAAGAGATTCGGCAGCACCATTCTGTCTGTTTCCTCAAGATTTGGTCACGCTTTGCTCGGGATATCAGTGCTCTAATTTTCAATTTAAAGTTGATAAACAGTGCCATAGTGTTGGGCAGATTTCTAATTACTAGGAATTAAACCTGATGTTCTGTGGACTTGCTGCCTGTTGGTACAGAAATACTGTTAACCATGGGAAACATTGCTCCCCAATAACAACATTAAATATATTTGCATTTATTTTAATCTACAAGCTGATCTTAAATGTTTTTGTTAACTAAACCTTAGCTGGTCAGACACCTTTACAAGATATTTAAGAGTTTATTTTCAAGTGGCATACACAGAAGAGCCGAACATTTTCCAGACCCTTTGCTGAGGACCCTGGCAGAGGTAAGGCTGTTGTAGGGAGCGCCAGCAACGCGTGGCAGTTGTGAGTATGTATCTTTTGGTCCTGACAATAAAAAGACAAGAGTCCAGGCTTACTTTTCCCTGAGACATCTGCTATTAGTGTTAGAGCTGACTGCTACTTGCCTCCTCAGTCTATCAGAGGTGTTACGTTACTGAACGCTCACAATCAATCCAAATAGAGTTGCAGCTCTCAACAAGAATTCAGCCTTACTTGCTCTCTCATCACCAGCCTCTTCTCCCAGGTACTGCCACAAGTGTTCAGTTCAAGTAGATATTACTTAAAGCACTTGATCTATTTTAATTATGTTGAGTGTTCTCATAGTACTGATGTTTCCTCTAATATGTGCGTGCGAGAGGAGGAATGCATCCCCCAACGCTCTCTAAATTTGAAGTATATTATAGTGTACGTACAATGCATCAATACAGAAAGCTCTGAGGTAGCTGCAGATATGGACGTTGAGTAATTTGAAAGCAGCAGCTTGCAGACCGTCCTTCCCTGAAGGCAAAACACAGTGTATGCAGATGGCCAAAACCTACGTCGGAAGGAGTTTTTTTCTGTCCAATAAAATCTGGTTAAATCCAGTGATGGAACAGGCATCCGTGTGGGGGCTGACATTAGCGTAATGCAGGGGAGACTTCTTACAGTGGAACCTGATGGAGCCCTGCAAGAAAAAGGTGGAGAGGTCAGTTGATTTTTTTGCCAGATTTTGAGCTGATTTTGTTGTTCAAACTAAGGAATGCTTTAGTATGTGATCAGCTGGTGAATATGAACGAGGATGGAGGACGACCTCCAAAGGAGTCCTAATACAAGTGAATTTAAGAGAAAATATTACTACAGAGAGCACCAATACTGTAATTTGAGCCGAAACTAGCTTAAACTCTGAGGACTTAAGTATTTAGTCAGTACTGAATGTAGTACTGCTTCTTCCTATTTGTAGTAACTGTGACCAGGCCCAGGCTACATTCTTGCACGCATAATTTTACGCCACCTCAAAAATTTATCAACAAAAACCCCAGCACAGGTGTAAAGTAACCAGAGTGCAGTTTCTGAGAGAAGCCAGTGTGGGTTGGGGCTCATTTGTGAATGGTATCAGACCGTTCAGCATGTGCGTAGGAGATTAAATACTTGAGGGTTGCTCCCTGCTTTCTGCCCTGAAAGTCCTCTGTGGTAATTAGTCTGTGCAGCTGTCTGCATAGTGAATAAAGACTTACTGGGGTATTAATACACCCGGTGGCTTCTCCCCAAGCAGAGGGGTTTTTTCACATCTTCATCTGTTGTGCAACTTGGATCCCCTAAGCAGAAGAAATACCTCATGTGTCACAGCAGATCCCGTGTGGGAATGCTCTGCTCTACCTTTCTAAAGCAGAGCTTTGAGCAGTTTGTTCCTAGGACAGAGCCTAAGGAGAGTTTTCATGCTTAGCTGAAGGTCTCAGCTCAGCCCCGTGTCTCGCTTGACCTGACAGCGGAGTCATCCTCGCACACCTGGGCCTATGGAAGGAGGGGGCTGCACCTGAGGGCAGGCTCGGCCTTGCTGAGCTCGGCAGCAGAGTTCAAGCTCCTGCGCTGGCGGCAGCTTGGCGGTGCCGCTGGTTGTGTTACCAGTGTTACCAGTGGCTTTGTTACCGCTAGGTTTGTTACCTGCGGGAGGGCTCTGATGGACGTGATGCCACAGCTGAAGGAAGAGCTTTCCACCCTGCAGCAGTCGCTCCTCTGACGTACTCTGAGGCTCGCCAGCAGCGACAGGTCCCTCCGGAGTCCCCGTACAGTAACGGGTGCAGCAGCCAGGACGAGGCCCAGAGGCCAGAACTGAATTATTGCCCGCAGAGGCCAGCTTGTTTCCAAAGAACAAGGCGGTTTGGCCGAGATCACGGGAGCTCCAGGAACCAAGAATGCCTTTTCATCGCCCTCATCCAATTCTGCTGCTGCTAACGCAGCCATTTTTGCCTGATGAAGAGAAGCAGAACAATATTCTTGAACAAGATTCTCAAATATCTTGAACAAAATTTCAAACTACAAAATTAAGAGGCTAAAAAAGAGGGCATCTTAAGGTACAGGACACCCTTTGGGACATTTTTTATGAAGGCAAGGCACTATGCTGCCGCTCTAGAAGCAGCTGTAGAGGACTGGCATCCATCTTCTGCGCTGGAGAAGAGTTCTCTGGAGAACTGATGGTTTTGTACAGTTACCTGACAGAGGTAGATTCTCTCCCAAACACTGAATGGCCTGAGTCACTCAATTTCAATGCTTTCCTGCCTCAATGTACTTACTTTCCATTTCCTCCAGCCATGCTTAATAACATTTGCAGCCCTGCGCATCCTCTGGAAGCGACTCTTGGCTAACCAGGAGCGAATAGCTGAAGATTTAATTAAAAGAAATCTGAGTACAAAGAATGTCAGAAGCTCTTGCGCACAACGTAAGAGAGATGGCACTTAAGCCTTCCCCTTTAATTAACATAACCACTCCTGCCACTTTAAACATCCAGTGTAACTGGAAATGGTACTTGTTCCATATGTGCAGCCACACCCTTATCAAATTACCTGCTTGGATGACAGTTGCAGACCATCGCTCCTTCACTAGTTTCTTCTGTTTAAATTTTCTCCAGCAACACTGAATGCAAAATGCTTTCTCATTTAACACCTCTGCTCTTCTGGCTTCAAGTTGCTCCAGCTGCATTGGGGACATGAGCCTGCAGTTAATACTCAGGGATGGAGTCGTCTTCACAACTCTTCCCTCTTCTACAGTCAGAAAACCACATGTGCCTTCCAGTGAAGTGTTGGGTTAGGTTTTAGCAGTGAGAACACTTCATTAGTGCTCATTAGATAACATGTCAAATGAAAACATAAGTATCTGAGGGGGAAGAGAGTGTTGGGGGGTAAAAGTGGCCACTCACAGTGGTCACAGTAGCAGCTGGCTTAAAACTAGCTCAGTTAAAGGGGTCTGTTATGGCTGCGTCCTCCAGTGTGCAAGCTTTGCAAAAGTGCCAGTCTCCTCCTGCTTAGGCCTGTCAGAATAGCCAGGCCTGTCAGCTGAGGCTAAGGAAAGCCAGTCCTTACTGGAACTGGGAGGGTACTGGCACCACTAGACAGGAAGGAAAATGCCAAATTCTGGTCACACTGGCATCACCTAAACCACAAGGATAATCTGTGCCAGAATCTCCAGTGTGCAGGTACACTCCAGAACTGTTCGCCAAGGAAATAGCACTTACCACAGAATTAGCCATAAATACTTTGGTTTTGCCACAATACACTGAAGCGTTTCCTGTTCTGTTCCCTGTTTGCTCAGCGGTAGTTTGTTCTGTAACAACATTCTGAAGGATCTCAAAAACAACAGAACGTGATGCTTTGTCATCACCCGCCGCCAGAGTCTCGCCTGCAGGTGAAGCATTGAAGAGAAAGTGTCACAACTCTGGGCAATCGGGACCAAGTAATTATCTTTACACTGAGATTTCTTGGCTGTTTAAGGGGGGGATACACCTGCACCCAGAGGGGAGGAGGCGATGGCTGAGACAGCACTAGATCTAGCTGCGTTCAAAGGAAAAATGTGAAAGCCTAGAAACCCAGCGTGGTGTGTTTGGGTGCTGTCTTACCACCCCATTCTAACCCACCCCAGGTAACAAACGCTGGTTTGGGTAGATCTAGACAATGAAACAGACTGGGGAGCTCAGCTGCTCTCACAGCGTCCTACGTGGAAACGTTAGAAAGCAACAGCAAAGCAATTAAGAGTAGATTTGAGCAGCTAAGAAAAATCTGATGAACTACCCAAATCTCAAAGCAGTTGGGAACAAAGAACAAAAAGCAAGGAATTAGACTCGTAGCCTTAATGTGCTGAAAGATGCAGGAACAGAAAATTCTACAGCTTTCACAGGGCATCAGAAGCAGCTAAGGGGACGTGTACTAAGCAGAAGTTTATTGCAGCAATAAAAGGTTATTAAAACCATTTCTGGGACACAGTACACAAGATTTTACGTTACGAGACAAACAGGTTAGCCAGATTAATCTATTTGGAAATAGAGTTAGACTTAATTCAGACCTGTCCTTGAAAGAGATTGTGTTGGTCAAGGCAATGCTGCATGAGTTTCTGCATGCCCAATGCGGGAACGTGATGGTCTTTGTATCTTTCCATCCTGGATACTGTTTGCTTTTCTGCTATAAATATTTCTAAGGAGATGAGAGCATTTTAAGGTACTGAAAACAAATATAAGCAATTCTTGCTTACAGGAAGACATCTGGTGACTATGATGGTGTTTGAGGGGCTGGGCTGATAAGGGAACCTAAAGCTTATCCCCGTGTTTAGGAAATTGTTTTGCTTTGTTTGCAGCTTATTACCTGCTAAGATAAAAAGGACTAGCGACCTATCACAAAGAGGCATTTCAGCTAATGGGTTTATAATTGAGGGAAAAAGATATGGCGTGTAAGTAATTTCCAAGCTTGTACTTCATTACTTCATTCCATTTCCGCAAGGTGAATAGATTTCCAGCCATTTTACTTATCTGACATAGGCTGGTTCCTACTGGTCCTGCTTCCCACCTCTACTGGTTACTGAGCAAACCCACTGGGTGAAGATGGGATTAATCTGGGTGACAGAAGGGGGTTGCTTTCAAATATTATTAACTTTCAATACTAAATATAACCACCTGACGAGCTCCTTCTCTCAGAGGTTCATACCAGAGATGTTACCTTGTAGATTGGATTGTGGTTTTTAAAGTCCATCCTCGCTCTTGCTTAGAAAAAAGAATCGCATACAGAAGTTTGCAAAAGGGAGAAGAAGCAGCAGCATCCAGGTAAGTAGAAGGTCAGTGTGTTCAGCAAGAAAACAAGGTGGGAGAAAAAAAAAAGAAAGGA